CCCCAAAACCCCAAAACCCCGAGTGCATGAAATAAGTATTCATTAAGTTAATTGTAAACTAAATAATTGATAAAGTAAAATGTCTGAACGTAAAGTTTTAAACAAGTACTATCCCCCAGATTTCGATCCGTCGAAGCTCACAAAGATCAAGAGAGCTAAAGACAAGCAAGACAATGTGCGTATGATGTTGCCTATGTCAGTGAGATGCAACACCTGTGGAAATTTCCTCTACATCGGCACTAAATTCAATATGCGTAAGGAGACTTGCAACGACGATGACTACTTAGGCATTAAGATCTACAGATTCTACTTCAAATGCTCCAGATGCTATGCAGAGGTTACCATGAAGACTGATCCCAAGAATCATGACTATGTCTGTGAACATGGTGCCACTAGAAACTATGAGCCTTGGAGAGATATTTAGCATGCTGAGAATGTGCTGAAGGCCAAGAGACAGCTTGAGGATGACGATGCTATGAAAAATCTAGAGAATAGGACATATGACTCAAAGAGGGAAATGGACATCCTTGATGCTCTGGAAGAAGTTAAGCAGATGAACAAAAGATTAGCGAAGGTTAATCATGATGAGCTTTTGCTTAAGACCCTTGCAAAATATGAAGATAAAGAAGAGAAGGAGAGGGACTAAGCTATCAAAGAAAGTTATGACAGGTAAATGGAACAATTAAAGTATAGGAGAATCTAAGATGACAACGGAGAGTATGAAGATGGTGATAACTTTGATAAGCATCTGATGAATCGAAAACCCAAAAAAGGTTTTCTGAATATTGACAATCCTTATTAGCTTTTGGAAAAACTATAAGAAAGTGAGACCTAAGAAGACTCTGATGAAGCGAGTGATTCAGATAACGAGAGTGAAGATGAATTATTAAGCAAATAAAATGAGACTTAAAATGGATTAAATTCAAATGGATTTTCCCTATTGGGAAGTAAATTAAATCCCTTAAAGAGAAAATAGCCAGAAGAAGAATTTAAAATGCCTTTTAATAAAATGCCATTTGTGATGAAGAAAGTAAAATAAGATGAATAAGATTTAAAGACAATTTAAGATAATAAGAGTGCTAGCTCTGATTTGCTAAGTAAATTAGCTTAATACTCTTCCTCTGATAGTGATGATGATGATAAATAATGACCGTGATTATAAAAGTATAGCAAAAGGATTTTAGAATACAACATGAATAATTAATGGTTAAATTTGTGTGATTATAATTTTCAAATCTTAATACAATTTATCCAAATATTTATTGATCTTGAGGGGTTTTGGGGTTTTGGGGTTTTGGGGTTTTGGGG